CAAACTTCGACATTATCGATCCTGTCGTAGCCGCGCGTGGAAACAAGTATCTGCCATGGTTCCAGGTATTTTTTCTAAACTAATTACTCTTTAAGATAAATATGTAGAATTGCGTTGTTGTGTATGGTAATTAGTTACTACGTAGAATTGTGTTGGCGCTCTGGATGGTACTCACGTACCATGTGTTCCACCCGCTGCAAATGCTGAGGTATGGAGAAATCGGAAGGGGTTCTTCTCTCAAAATGTATTAGGAGTCTGTTCGTTCGACATGAGGTTCACATACATGTTAGCTGGATGGGAGGGCTCTGCTCATGATGCACGTGTGCTTGCATCCGCAACAGAAACGAGGGAAAAAAATTTCCCTACTCCACCAGAAGGTATGTGTAAGCTTGATCTTTCATTACTTTTCGAAAACTACACGTTTGTGCTTCCATGTGGAACTAATACATTCACGTAATATATTCTAACGCACACAACAGGTAAATATTACCTCGTCGACTCTGGGTACGCAAACAATGATTGTTTCTTGGCACCGTACCGAGGGAGCACTTACCACCTTCAAGAGTATCGGGCAAGGAGGGGTCGGCCCCAAACTCAGCGTGAGCTATTCAATTACACTCATTCTTCCCTCAGAAACTGTATCGAGCGCACATTCGGCGTCTGGAAAGCCAGGTTTCGTATTCTTAAGTGCATTAATAACTACCCGATACAGACACAAATAGATATTCCACTTGTTTGTGCTATTCTACACAACTTCATACATATGTACAACCACAACGATGATCTACTAACCCAATACATGAGAGACGCCATTCCGGTAGCAGAAATTGATCCACTCAACACAGAGCAAGATGTGAATCAAAATCACAATCCTGATCGGGGAAGCCAACAACATCAAAACCGTCCACACCGACGACAAATGCACATTTTAAGGGATGAAATAGCTAATAGTATGTGGGCTGCATATGAGAACAACCGGCGTTGATAGATTAGTTTTTCTGTATTACTTGGTTGAGAACAACCGGCGTTGATAGATTAGTTTTTCTGTATTACTTGGTTGAGAACAACCGGCGTTGATAGATTAGTTTTTCTGTATTACTTGGTTGAGAACAACCGGCGTTGATAGATTAGTTTTTCTGTATTACTTATATATATGTTATATATATATATATATATATATATATATATATATATATATTCTTATGAAGAACAGAAATGCATGCCAATGTGGGAAATGCACCATGTTCACGTTTTTTACATAACAGAAATGCATGCCAATGTTGAAATTAATTAGAGTTTGGCATTTGTGCAAGTGAACACAAAACTCAAGTTTCAAAAGTTAAATAGTCAACACCTAAACACTAAACTCCAAATTTCAAATTACACTCAACTTTTTTGAAACTCGAATCTAGTTTTTTAACTCGAATCATAAAATTTGAGTTAGTGAAGTGAACGGGCCCTAAGGGTACCAAGAGAAAAATCATAACAGGAAATTCTTTTGGGGCTTGAGTAATTTTTTTAAAGGCCATTCGTTTGCCCCCAAAAATTTGAAAAAAGACCACTTGAGTAAAAAAAATTAGGCTAAATCTTTGTTTAGTAAGGACTGCTAAGTGAAAACTTAAGTTTATATTTGAGAAAAGTAACAATTATTGAGTGTAGCCCCACCTCTTTAATTCAAGTTCAAGTTCAACCGCAATTATTGACAAAAATTATTTTATTTTATTTTAATAATAAATTTTAAATAAAAATAATTACCTCTCATTCAATCTTCAAGTTTATGTCTACTAAACACATACTCAAATTAAATTCTCAATTCAAAAATTAACTCAAATGTGTACTTTCAAACACAAACTCAAGTTACATATTCAACTAAAGTTATAACTCAAATTCAACTCAAGATTTATACTCAAGTCAGCATAACTTAAAAATGCAACTGAATAAGCCCTTATATTTTAAAAATTATGACATTTTTTAGTACGTCAACATAACGGTAGGCCAAGTTTTTTATCCGTTGGATCTACATAAAATCATGTAAAAGTTAAAAAGTACACAGATCTAATAGCTAAAAAAACCTAATCTACCAATACGCCGGACATATCATAAAATTCTCTTAAAAATTGTCCCTAAACTTTTAATTTTAGCATTTCACTTCCTAATTTTTAATTTTAGCATTTCACTTCCTAATTTCCTATTTAATGTGGTGCACCTCATGTGGCTGATTGGAGATTTTATTTGGGGACGTTTAGAAGGGAGATTCGTGCCATGATTTGAATCATAGTTCGTGGTTCACTTCAGTATTTTCTCCTACAAAAAACACACGTAAAACGAAAATGGTTCTGAATCATGATTTTGAATTCATGAACTAAACATCCCATTTTGATTGTGTTAGGGTCTAAAGTAGGATATTTGTTTCTTGTATTCATTTCTAATTCTGAATTATGATTCATGATTTTTTTTTATAAAAAGCACATATAAATAAAAATAATTATAAATTTATGAACCAAACGTGAGAGATTTTTAACCCAACTTCGAAGGCATGCTTTTTCTCACTACATGACGCAGCCATTGACTAAATTAGCGGCTGTTAGTCAAATGAGACACATTATAATGATTTTGCATATTTGAACGTTAAATTATTAAAATTAAAAGTGCAGGGACAACTTGTCCAAACCCGAAAAGTTTGGAACAAAAGTACTACAAACTGTTTCTAATAATAATAATAATAATAATAAAACTTGAGAGTGAAAGGTTTCCAATTCCAGAACTGAACGCTGAAAGTTGACCATGGATTTAGCAGTATTCACCTTCCGTTTCTGCGGAGTTCTTTTTTTTTTTTTTTTCTTTTTTTTTTCTACTAAAAGTAGTATCCATGATAATTGTTTCTTTAGTTAAGCTGGTAAATGTAGTACGTAGTATTGCTTCACTTCACGTAAAAGGGAAAAAAAAGGCTTCAAACATAAATAAGGATTCAACCCAAAATAAAATAAAATAAATAAAAGAGAGAGAGAGAGATGGGAATATCCAACTAAGCAAACATACAATAGCTACTAGCTAGCGTGGAAAATACTTGAAGTGCGTCGAAAAGTAATAATCTTATGAAAATGATTTGAGGAAAATTAAAAATTTCTACGATGTGCAAGGCTAAGAAGTATACGGGTGCGTTTAAAACTTGTTTTAAAATAATTTTATTTTTTATATGAAAATAAAAATATTTTCAATCTCATATAGAAATTATTTTTAAAAATGCGTTTGGTAGTTTTATCAAGAGATTATTTTCAATGTAAAAAAAAAACCATTAATGTCTCTCTTTCTCTCTCTCTGCTCGAGAGAGGAGAAAATGAAAACAAAAAATGAAAAACGACTAAAATTCATTTTTCATTTATCTCTCATTTTACACTAAACTAAAAAATCATTTTCATTTATTTTTTTTGTTTTTATTGCGCCAAATGCCGTTTTAAAAACGTTTTCATTTTTTCTTTCTCAAAAAACGTAAAAAACAAAAATGAGATCAATTCTAAACACGGCCTATATAATCTCTTTTTTTTTTTTTTTTGCATTTGGAAAAAAGAATTTCATAATCTTGATCTATGGGAACCATATTTTCACTCTATGGCCTTTCCCACTCCGTTTCATCACACATCATGTTTCAAATTAGATCATAAACTTTGGCTTCTTTTATTTTACTGATTCGAGTTTAGAATTCGAGTTTTGTTACGGTAAAAAGTTAACAGAAATAATCACATCTAATTTTTTTACTACAGTAAAAAACTCTCACATAAAGTCACATCTCAATTCGAATTAAAAACTCAAATCAGCGAATTAAACGAGCCCTTTATTTTACCGGCTGTAAGATACTCTCTGGATATGAAAAAATTTTATTAGGCTAAATTATAAGGAGAGTTCGTGGTATGAAAGTATACCATCAAGTAATACGTAGTTTTGGACTGTTACAATTCGTTTCGTTTTGTTTCATTAAATTACCAATCTGATCTCTAATATTCACTTGTCAAAATTAGCGAAATTAGAGTTTTATTATTGGTTTTTTTCTTTTTTCTTTTTTTTTTTAATGGCAAGAGTTTATATATTAGGGGGTTGTTCATAAAAGGGTGCGCCTGTGGATGTGCGAGGAAGAGGGTAAAAATACCATTGACATTGTTTTTTATAAATAAAAAGTGATCATGTTATTAAGTTTATAATAATTATTCTTTTTTGTCATTTTACATGACGGTCTTTTTGTAATAATAAATTTTGGTTTGAAAGGCTTTTTTTTTTGTAAGTGAAGTTAGACGTATGAATATAACAACTCTTATCTTGTTATTACTACTATAATTAGTATTACTATATTGCTATTGTTATAATAACAATAATAATGATTATTACTATTATTATTAGAAAGTTTCTAAAACAATAATATTTCAGATGAAGGGAAAAACTATTTAAAAGGTACACATCTTAAAAAATATCGTTCTCTTAACTTAAAATTCTTTTTAAACATGAAATGGCTTTTATACCCTTCTAATTAATAAATAAAAAATTAATCATTTCAACAATGTACTTAGGTAAAGTCATGTTTTCTAACGACATTTTTTAATAATATACTTTATCCTTTTAATAATATTTTTTTTTATAAGATTTACTTTCTTTCTCCAAGTAAAAAAATTGACCCAGTTGGAAGCGTTGGCCGGAAGGGAAGGAGAAATGAAGGAAAAAAAGATTTCCTTTTTACACTTTGTTGAGAAGGATGTTCAAAAGAGAAATCGGTATATTGATGATTTTGAACTGTTAAATTTTCATTTTATTTCATCATTTTTTATTTTAAATTAAAGTCATGTTATAACACGAGTTAATCTGTAAAATAAATATTAAGTGGAATCAAACCTTACAACCCCCACCGAAAGCGTACCCCCAATCCCTACCATGCCATTGTTCCAATGCTATGAAAAGCACATTGCCGAATAAATGTTCCGTACAAGAAATATCAAGTGTAGAAAAAACAAATGAAAAACTTCATAGAATATATCATTGATTCGTTTATATTAGCACCTTATGACACATTTTAAAGAATAAATTCCACCGTACTGCTTTCAACTGCTATAGGGTAAACAGACCCATTAATATGTATCAACGATGCTGCAAATGCAATGGGCAGTGCCCACTTTAGAAATATGAAAATCTTGCTATCCACCGACTAAGGGGTGTTCATCAAACCTGCTAAACCGTTAAAACAACCCACCCCGCCCCCGCCCAACCAAACAGGGCCATGTCATCATCCACCTATTTTAGGCAGTTTTTCAACCCGCCACCTACTTTGGCAGGTGGGGGCGGTTTCGAGTTTCTGAATTTTTGCTAGTCGCATCTTCAATCCGCGTTGGACTGGAGGGAAAGTAAGAAGTGATTCCTAGAAACTAAAATTGTGCAAAACAACCCAAAAAGAGGTGAAAAGAAAATGTGAGAATGCAACTGATAATTAGAAAGATAACCAGGAAACTTCCTAAAGTTGTACTCAGGTCAATGTGTATACCAAATTCTTTGGAGAAAATGAGAAATCTGCAAAAATTTGAACAAGCCAAATGCTTGAGTGCAGGTCACTGCAGAAAAGTATTTTGGAACTTGACACAGGTTGCCAATTTGTGGAAACTCTCCTATCGTGAGTTTGATTTATTCTAGTTATTTCTCAAACGAACCAAAATCAACCATGTACACATGCAGTTTTCTGACAGCTTTTGTCCGAAGGAGTCTCCAAGATGTCATAGTGACCATACCCATGAAACAGAACATTGATGGGATTCTGTTCATCCTTTCCATACTCTTCTTCACCGTACTTTGCTATGTTCACCAAAGCCCCAGTGCTTCTATCTCTCATGAACACCCAAATTGGCGTCCTGCAGAATTTAAAAATATGAATAATCAAATCATATAAATCACGCAGAGAAACCAGTTACATAAAGACTATTTGGAATTCAGTATCGAATATCAACATTAAAAGTTGGCAAGATATCCACAGATGAAATAACATGAATTCATCATCTCATGGGAGTGACATGAATTGATAATAAATATGGTGAAAAAGAAAAAGAGAACACTCACTTTAAAACATGAGAAGCCATGAGCAGTTCTGGTTCTCCACCCCAAACATAAGGTTGTTGAATATTTTTCACATATGCATCAAAATCACCTTCAATAAACCTACAACACATCACATAAAAATCAACCTACAATTCAGAACACAACCCAAAAACCAAATGACAATTCATTCCCCTCATGATTCCAATTGACCAAAACTTACCATTCCGACTCCTCACGCCTCTTTAAGAGCTCATTCACAACCTGCAGTCAGTTTTTAGTCAATGAAAGAATTTTAGCAACATTTTCAAACCCCCGGAAAGCAAATTCGAATAACGAATAAAAAAAAAAAAAAAAAAAAAAAAAAAAAAAAAAAAAAAAAAAAGATAGTAAATTACTTGAGCTCTTAATTCATCAGCGAGTTCTCTCTGACGATTTTCATCAGGAGCTTCCTCCCCATTCCTCAAGAAAGCCACATGAGCTATCGCTCTAAACAGGCACCGACCATCCGCTAGCACCCCTGTTGCACTTGATTATTGTCTCAAATAGTTCTATTCACAATTCAGGTTCATACATAACATATAGAAAAGAAAGATTCAAAGTTCATAAATTCCACAATTCATGTGTCCTATTAGAAAAAGAACGTTTTCACAACAAATTCTCAGAATAAAAGACCAAAAAAAAAAATCTCTCAAAATAAAAGGGGTTTTTTTTTTTTTTTTTTTTTTTTTTTTTTTTTTTTTGAAAAGTGTTGTTGATTACTAAGCACACAATTAGGAACAAATTTAAAAGCTGATAACGAATATGAAAATTAAAATGTCAAAAAGAAAGAATAAAAGGAAGTCGCAATATACATCTCACTACCACACTTCATATGCGTATAAAACGAAACCTGTAAGCCTGTAATTCTCAGCATAAAACGAAAAGTCATCAGTAATTTTATCAAACGGGTTTCGATCACGACTAAGAATACTATTGCGGATAAATTAATAACAACCACCAACCACAAAGAAAAAGATCAAAAACTCAAAATGAAGGAAAAGGAATTATACAAGTTTTTATGGCGAAACTTCATATACGAATACGCATATATAGAAGAGTATATGTGTATACATGCGAGTGTTTGTGTGTGTGTGTGTGTCTATATATATTGTAAATTTACCTGTAACTCTATAATCGGCGGAGCTATCGATGTTCGCACCGGAAAACGACCCATCTGAGGCGGAAGAAACGACAAGTCTCTGTTCCGAAACAACCGCCGGCGTCTCGGAGCTCACGTCCTCGCCATCGCCACCACCGACGACGTCGAGAGTCGCCGGCGCGAGGCACGCGCAGACGCCGAAGAGAAGCCAAGCGGAGTCAGCGCGGTGGAGCCAACGCGCCGGGCGAGCGTCGACCGCGGCGTTCCACGAGCCCTCCCCCTTCAGGAGCTCGAAATGGATCGCCGGCAGCCTCCAACGATCGAACCTCCGACCGCCAGCGCCGGACGATGGCAGGATGGCGTGCCAGATAGACGCCGCTCCGCCGCACGACGCGCCGAGCTGGCAGGCGCTGGAGTGGCGGCGACGGCGGCCGACGTCATCGCCGAATAGAACCGGACCGGAGAAAAACCGGCCGTTGTTCTGATGGGGGTAGTTGTGGTGAACCGCCGAGGCGTGGGCGAAGGAGGAAAGGAAGGTGCTGAGGATTCTGGGCTTGGAGCGAGCGCAGAGTACAGCGAGCATCACCGAGATGGTTTGAGGCTATCGTGCGCTACTGACGTGATGTAGGCGTTATCCTACGCACCCATTGGAGGCTAAAATGCAAATTAAAAATGGGAACAGTGACAAACTTATTCGAGAACTAGTACTGATTGCAGGGTCTGAGAATCATGGCGGCGTAGAGAACCATTTTATGGAATTGGAAGTTTAGGAAAGAACGATGCAAATGAGAGAAAACGCCATGTGGGGTCCACCAGGAAAATGTGGCATATATTATTATAAACCCTTTTCATTAATTAAATTGGAGAAATAAAAATAACCATAGATACTGAAAAACAGCAAATCTTTAAATAAAAAAATTAAACCTTTTCACAATAGATAATTAAAAAAATATTAATTGGTTACTTTTAAATACATATACATTGTACAATGCACATAGATTTTTTTTTTTATCCTACCACAAAATCTTCATATCTTTACACCGTTTTAAATATAATTCATTATGAGGATGAGATTATCATTTCTTCTTTTTTTTTCTCTTTGTTATTTTTAGGCGTGGGTTGAAGGCTACCAACTAATAGCCGTCACATTGTATGCGTAAGTATGATACACACATAAAATGTGACAATTAATTGACATGTAAAAAAGAAAAAAAATGCGTGATAACGACTGTGTTTAAAATTGATTTCTTTTTTTGTTTTTTTACGTTTAATGAGAAAGAAAAAATAAAAATAAAAAATAAAAAAAATAATTTTTTAATTTAGTGTAAAATGAGAGAAAAATAAAAAATAATTTTTAGTCATTTTTTATTTTTTATTTTTATTTTCTTCTCTCTCGAGCAGAGAGAGAAAAAGAGACATTAATGAGTTTTTTTACACTGAAAATAATCTTTTGATAAAACTACCAAACACATTTTTAAAAATGATTTCTGTTTGAGATTGAAAATACTTTATTTTTATAAAAAAAATAAAATTATTTTAGAACGAGTTCTAAACGCGTCCAACACTTTTGCAGTAAAAAAAATTAATATTTGAGGGAAAATATTAAATAAGAATGGTTAGTTTTCAAAAAAAAAAAAAAAAAAAAAAAAAAAAAAATTTTTTTTTTTTTTTAAAAAAAAAAAAAAAAAAAAAAAAAAAAAACCTGTTTGTAAATTGCACCTACTTTTTAGGTTTAATTAATGGAATAGGGCATATGCTGTGAAAAGATTCTAGATTTGTTCCTTCAAGCACGTTTGTTTACCCACGGGGTTGCTTGAATTTCACAAACATTATTGATTTGACGAAAATGGGTTTTTGTCGTGGGGCGGGGGTGACCGGTGAGGTTGGTTGTTGGATTTGGTGAGGAAGGGTAAAGTTGTCAAGGCGAAAGTGTTGTTGTTAAGAGAAATTGTGGTGGTGGCACGTGAGGAGGAGGGTGTTGAAGAAGAGCCAATTGGGTGACGCGCATACCTGGAGAATTGGAAGATTGGCTTTCCTCCTTTGCGGTTTTCGAGGAAAATTGGTAGTTTATAATTAATTACGTTTCTTATGTAAAACATGACGATATTTTGGCAAGCCTCTATGGTGGGAGCTAGGGATTCCAATTCTAAACGTCAACATTTTTTTTTTTTTTTAATAAAAAGAAAAAGATCATCATCATTTTATTTGTCATGATTTAAGTTATTACAACGCGATTGTTAAAGTATAAAAATTATTATTGACTCACTTTTTAATAGTTTAAATTTTTGAGATAGATTGATAAATTAACATAGTATCAGAGCGAGAGATTCTGAGTTTAAACCCCCGTAATTACACTCTTTATCTCCATTTAAATTGTCATCATGTGTTAGATTTTTAACATATATTCACGTGTTGGGCTTTCCACTTAATTTACTCACACGATTGCCCATTGTCCAGCCTACACGTGAGGGAGAGTGTTAAAGTATAAAAACTATTGTTGGCTCATCTCCTAATAGCTTAAGCTTTTAGGATGGATTGGTAAACTAACATGGTATCAGATTGGGAGGTCCTGAGTTATAAACTAACATGGTATCAGAACGGGAGGTCATGAGTTCAAACCACGTAATTACACTTTTTATCCACATTTAAATTGTCATCATGTGTTGGGTTTTTAACATATCTCGGGCTTAAATATCCACGTGTTGGACTTTCTAATTATTTTATAATTACCTATTGTTCAGCCCACACGTGAAGAAGAGTGTTAAAATATAAAAATTATTATTGGCTCACCTCTTAATAGCTTAAGTTCTTAGGATGGATTGGTAAACTAACAGATATTGAATGAGATCAAAACTTATCAATAGACATAACCCGCCAACGGGGTTCTAAATGCCAACACTAAAAATAAAGTAAGAGTGTGTATTCAGGTTAAGTAATTAATGCTTGGAACTAGGGATGAAATTTTTACTCACAATCGTTAGCATCCACGTGCACTTGCCCTTATTATATGGGGTTATTAAATAGGAACAAGACGAGTATAAGTGCTTATATTAAATAGGAACATATATATTTACTTAAAATATATATATATATATATATATTGATATATATTTTCTGTTATTTCTCGTTAGGCACTCCAAATTTTATAACTATGCCCAAAAATAATAAGCAAGCAATGAAGTTGGCGTGGAAGGAATAACCAAATTAGAGGAATAATATTCTTGGCATTTTTAATATTTTACTCAAAAGACTTTAATTTATTACTTGAGTCTTGCATTGAGATTTTAGAATTTGGTTTCATATGATTTGAGTTTTGATTGGATTGCGAAAACAATACATTTGGAACAACAAGGACGAAACTTGGCACTTGACTTTTGCATTAGTCTATTTGCTTCTAAAATTGGTTATTTTTAACACCTTAACATTGTTAAAATTGTCGAGTGTATGATTAATATTCCTATGGAGTTAATTTTTAAGGTGGATTTTTTAATAAAAAATTAGGATTCAATAAATTATAAAACATTAGTTAAGCCTTTCAAAAAAATAAAAAATAAAATAAAACATTAGTTAAGTACATAGAGTGTATGCAATATGAGTTTCAAGAGACATTTTTATATAATTAGAGTAGTATGAAGTATATTATGTTGTAAATTATGGGGTATTTTATTTGTGGGACCAAAGTGGGAGAATTTTTTCCCAGTTACCATTTACTTCCAAAGAGAAAAGCTTTGCATGGCACTATGAAATTTACTTGGCAAATTCTTATCTTGATATTTATATATATATATATATATATATATATATATACCCCCATGTGGCACACCTCAGATTTATTTCCTTTCCTTCATATCACTTTTATTACAAATCTCCCTGGTTCATTATTAGTAATTCAGAGCTTGTAGAAAAGTGTAGAACAATGTCCCTAAATTTTGTTCATTAATTTCGTTGTATCCTCCATAATTTATACTCTTTGCACTAGAGGTTCAAGGCCTATATAAATATTTTAGAGCTAAGTATTTGAGAGTGCACTCTTTCTAACCTGGTCATTGAATCCCGAAGGTTAGATCGCCATGAACCCTATTTTGCAGCAAAACATTATCTGAGAGGGGTGGAATCTATCTTTAAAGACAGTGCGTGGCCCGCACGGAATCTATCTTTGACAGCATCTCATTTTTTCCATATTTCCCCAATAAATTATTAGTGGGTAATGTAAAAGTTTTTAGGGAGATAGTAGAAAATAGGCTAATATGAAAAATTTAAGAAAGTATATAGGCTAATTTTTAGTTATAGAAATTAATTGGTCATAACTTGTCAAGTTATGGTTCATAATCAGATAAGTTATTAATAAACTTGTCAAGTTATGGTTCATAGTCAGACAAGTTATGGATAATTATGGATAATAACTTGTCAAGTTATGATTCATAACCAGACTAATTATGAATGAAAACAGTAATTTGGTCTATTTATTAACTTATGTAAACTATTAACCTATTAATTTTAATTTATCTCAAGTCTTGGCCTATTTTCCTCTCTCTCCCAAGTTTTTATCTTTATTATGGTCTCGTTCATTTCACCGATTTGAGTTTTTAATTTAAATTTTGCTACAGTTAAAAACTCTCATAAAAAATCACATCTAACTTCAAATTAAAAACTCGAATCAACGAATTAAGGAGGCTTATATTATTACTCAACTCAAAAGATTTATCTTAATTGTGTGCTGAGCCATCACTGCTGTTGAGATCGTATATACTAATACTTGAGGGGCCATACTCTCTATCATTTTACTAAATGCAAATTGCATGAGAAATACGTTGGGCATCATACTTCGCCGAAGAAGACACTTAATTGAGCTTCTGAAACAGCAAAAGTTATTTTGAGTTCTAAACGTGCTTTTCCAAGAACACAGTTGTAGCCTCCCTCTCTCTCTCTCTCTCTCTCTCTCTCTCTCTCTCTCTCTCTCTCTCTCTCTCTATATATATATATAAACATAAACATATATATTGCACCTTCATCTATATCCGCAAATTAACTCCCCCGTGCTATGCATATCGTGTTAAATTTTAGTTATTGTGTTATTATTTTTTTTTTAATTTATATTTAAAAATAAAGATTTTAGTAAGTTAATTAATACACAACTAACACAAATATCTTTATAAGTATCGAAATGCACCTACAGTGCAAGCGATTGACATCTTATCATTTTGATCGAAATGCACCAACAGTGCAAGCAATTGACATTTCTTATATATATAGAAAGATAGATATTTATTCATTTGTATGTGTGTTTTATGTGTGTGATTGAGGAGAAAGCTAGGCAACCATCCAAAACGCTACGTCAACATCGCGTCTAATGTCTATCAGAATTCAATCATCGCAACTTTGATGACGACTTTGTGTAGGTATATTATGGTTACGTTCATCGATTCGAGTTTAGAATTTAAATTTTATTACAGTAAAAAATTCTCAAAAAGAGTACTATAATAAAAAACTCTCATATAAAATAACATCTCAATTTAAATTAAAAACTCAAATCAACAAACTAAACGGATCTTATATATACGGCGCTTTTCTTCAACTTTTTGGTTGAAAGCAAAGTCGCAAAAGTAGACGTGTAGACAATCTACAAAATTCGTTTGGATAGTTGTGGGAGGAAGCGCAGGACCTTCACGTGCGTACGAATTAATAGTTGTTTATCAATGTTTGCATCTTATATCTTATAATTTAGGGAGTTTCTTTAGTAGGACAACGACGTCAGTTTATAA